ACACGCGCTACCGGTCAGGATGGATGACCCCCAATACCACCAGTTGTGGCCACTAGAGGCCGAGGATGTGATCGAGGCCGTGGTAGGGGAAGAGGTGTAGCTCGCACCGCAGCTAGGGCAACACCTACAGATCCACCAGTCGCCCTAACTCATGATCAGGTCCCAGTTGTGGACGTTTCAGCAGCACCAGCTTAGGCACCAGTTGTGCCCATTGTGATTCCGGGTCTTCAGGAGGTCATGGCTCAGATTCTATCAGTATGCACTAGCCTAGCTCAGGCAGTCTCAGTTACTACAGCCGCAGCTACTTCTCAGGCCAGGGGAGGCACTCTGACTCCCGCTGTTGGCACACCTAAGCAGGTCGTGCAGGGACTTCAGACATCGGGGGCACCTCCAGCCCAACCGGTTGCAGCTGTTCAGGACTATGTGGCTCCTATTATACCAGAGGATGAGCAGCATAGATTGGAGAGGTTTGGTAGACTTCAGCCTCCGACTTTCAGTGGTGCAAAGGGCGAGGATGCCCAGGGTTTCTTGGACAAGTGTTAGAGGATTCTTCATACAGCGGGTATTCTGGAGACCAGCGGGTCGCTTTCACTACTTTTCTGTTTTCTAGAGCTGCCTTCACTTGGTAGGAGGCTTATGAGAGGAGTAGGCCTGTTGGTGCAACACCCCTTACCTAGCAGCAGTTCACCGTTCTCTTTTTGGAGAAGTATGTGCCACAGTCTCGCAAAGAGGAGCTGCACAGGTAGTTCGAGTAGTTGCGTCAGGGAGATTTGACTGTGACGCAGTATGAGATGAGGTTCTCAAAGTTAGCGCGTCATGCTGTTTGGTTGGTTCCGACAAATAGAGAGAGGATCAAGAAGTTTGTTGATGGCCTCATGTATCAGCTTCGTATTGTCATGACCAGGGAGAGGGTGTCTAGTGCTACTTTTGAGGAGGTTGTAGGCATTGCTCATGAGATTGAGTCAGTTCGTCGCTAGGAGCGAGATGAGAGGGAGGCCAAGAGGCCTTGGGGATCTGGTAGTTATGGTGGTGCTCATTCGAGGGGTTAGTTTCAGCACGGTAGAGGTTGTCCATTCAGGCACGCTCAGTCAGCTCGCACAGGTTATCATGGGGCATCATCGGGTCATGGTTCTCACAGTTCTCGTCAAGGTCATCCATCACTCAGTGCCTTTCCAGCTTAAAGTTCAACCCGTGCTCCATCAGTTTAGGGCTCTTCTATGCCAGGTGCATTTGTTAGTCATTCTGGTGCTAGGGGTTCCCTTCAATCCCCATCTCCAACAGTGGGGAGTTGTTATGAGTGTGGAGAGTTGGGCCATATGTGGACGCAGTGTTCTCGTCATTTTGGAGGTTCATCTCAGTAGAGGAGTCAACCATCTACTTCAGCGCCAGTCACTTCATCATTACCCACCTAGCCAGCTAGGGGTGGGGGACAGTCAGCTAGGGGCCGCCCTAGAGGGAGAGGTCGATTAGGTGGTGGTCAGGCCCATTTCTATGCACTCTCAGCTAGACCCAATGTTATTACTTCAGATGCTGTGATTACAGGTATTGTCTCAGTCTGCCATAAAGATTCCTCTACATTATTTGATCCCGGTTCCACTTTTTCTTATGTGTCATCATATTTTGCTCGTTATTTGGATATGCCCCGTGAGTCTTTTGTTTCATCTATTCGTGTATCTACTCCGGTGGGCGATACTATTATTGTGGATCGTGTGTACCGGTCATGTGTGGTGACTATTGGGGGTCTGGAGACCCGAGTGGATCTGTTATTACTTTGCATAATGTACTTTGATGTGATATTGGGCATGGAATGGTTATCTCCGTGTCGTGCTATTTTGGATTTTCATGCTAAGACAGTGACGTTGGCTATGCCGGGTGTGCCACAGATTGAGTGGCGAGGTTCGACTGATTTTGTCCCCAGTAGGGTGATTTCGTTCTTTAAAGCTCAACGTATGGTTGGGAAGGGTTGTCTTTCATACTTAGCCTATGTGAGGAATGTTGGTGCAAAGACTCCCAGTATTGATTCTGTTCCAATTATGAGGGATTTTCCCGATGTGTTTCTTGCAGACCTGCTGGGCATGCCCCCCGATAGGGATATTAATTTCGTTATTGATCTGGTGCCGGGCACTCAGCCCATTTCTATTCCACCATATCGTATAGCACCAACGGAGTTGAAAGAGCTGAAGGAGAAGCTTCAAGAACTACTTGATAAGGGATTCATTCGGCCTAGTATGTCGCCTTGGGGTGCTTGTCCTATTTGTAAAGAAGAAGGATGGCACGATGAGGATGTGCATTGATTACAGGCAGTTGAACAAAGTAACAATCAAGAACAAGTATCCTTTGCCTTGTATCGATGATTTGTTTGACCATCTCCAGGGAGCAAGAGTGTTCTCCAAGATTGATCTCCATTCAGGCTATCACCAGTTGAAGATCAGGGACTCGGATATTCTTAAGACAGCCTTCACCACCCGATATGGTCATTATGAGTTCCTCGTTATGTCTTTCGGGCTGACCAATGCCTGGACAACGTTTATGTATTTGATGAACAGCGTGTTTCGACCTTATCTTGATTCATTCGTGATTGTTTGCATTAACAATATTCTGGTATACTCGCGTAGTCAGGAGGAGCACGCGGGGCATTGAGAGTTGTGTTGCAGAGGTTGAAAGAGGAGAAGCTTTATGCAAAGTTCTCCAAATGTGAGTTTTGGCTCAGTTCAGTGGCTTTCTTGGGGCACGTAGTGTCCAGCGAGGGTATTCAGGTTGATCCGAAGAAGATAGATGCGGTTCAGAGTTGGCCCTAACCGTCCTCAACCATAGAGATTCGCAACTTTCTTAGTTTGGCGGGTTATTACCGCTGGTTTGTTCAGGGATTACATCTATTGCATTTCCCTTGACCAAGTTGACTTAAAAGGGTGCTCCATTCAAGTGGTCGGATGAGTGTGAGGAGAGCTTTTAGAAGCTCAAGACAGCCTTGACCACGGCTCCAGTGTTAGTTTTGCCATCAGCTTCAGGTTCATATATAGAGTATTTTGATGCTTCGAGAGTTGGTATTGGGTGTGTATTGATGCAGGAGGGTAGAGTTATTGCTTATGCTTCTCGTCAGTTGAAGCCCCATGACAAGAACTACCATGTTCATGATTTAGAGTTAACTGCTATCGTTTACGCATTGAAGATTTGGAGGAATTATTTGTATGGTGTGTCTTGTGAGGTATTTACTGATCATTGTAGCCTTCAGCACTTGTTCAAATAGAAGGATCTCAATTTGAGGCAGTGGAGATGGTTGGAGTTGCTAAAGGATTATGATATTACTATTTTGTACAATCCGGGGAAGGCCAATATGGTGGTCGATGCCTTGAGTAGGAAGGTAGTGAGTATGGGAAGTTTGGCATATATTCCAGTTGAGGAGAGACCTCTTGCAGTTGATGTTCAGGCCTTCGCCAATCGGTTCGTAAGATTAGATATTTCAAAGCCCAGTCGGGTATTGGCTTTTGTGATTTCTTGGTCTTCCTTAATTGATCGCATCATAGAGCGCCAGTATGATGATCCTCATTTGCTTGTCCTTAAGGACAGAGTTCAACACGATGATGTCAGAGATGTGACCATTGGTGATGATGGGGTGTTAAGGATGCAGGGCCGAATATGTGTGCCTAATGTGGATGGGCTTCGGGAGTTGATTCTATAGGAGGCCCATAGAGTGGTATTCCATTCATCTGGGTGCCGCGAAGATGTATCAAGATCTGAGACAGTATTATTGGTGGAGGAGAATGAAGAAAGACATTGTGGGATTTGTAGCTCAGTGTCTTAATTGTCAGCAGGTGAAGTGTGAGCATCAGAGACCGGGTGACTTACTTCAGCAGATGGATATTCTAGAGTGGAAGTGAGAGAGGATCACTATGGATTTTGTAGTTAGACTCCCACAGACTTTGAAGAAGTTCGATGCTATCTGGGTGATTGTGGATCGGCTGACCAAGTCTGTGCACTTCATTCTTGTGTGTACTACCTATTCTTCAGAGTTGTTGGCAAGGATCTATATTCGAGAGATTGTTTGTTTGCATGGTGTTCCGATTTCCATCATTTCAGATAGAGGTACTCAGTTTACATCGCAGTTTTGGAGAGCGGTGTAGAGAGAGTTGGGTACTCAAGTTAAGTTGAGCACATCTTTTCACCCTCAGATGGACGGGCAGTCCGAGCGCACTATTCAGATATTGGAGGACATGTTGCGTGCTTGTGTCATTGATTTTGGAGGGTCATGGGATCAGTTTCTCCCGCTCGCAGAGTTTGCTTATAACAGTTACCAGTGGAGTATTCAGATGGATCCATATGAGGCTTAGTATGGGAGGTGGTGTAGATCGCCAGTCGGTTGGTTTGAGCCGGGTGAGGCTAGGCTATTGGGTACAGACTTGGTGCATGATGCTTTAGACAGGGTGAATGTGATTCAAAAGAGGCTTCGTACACCACATTTGAGACAAAAGAGTTATGCTGATAGAAAGGTTCGGGATGTGTCCTACATGGTCGGTGAGAAGGTTCTGTTGAAGGTGTCACAACTCTTTTTTACTACCCCCGAAAGGGTATAAGGGAGTTTTTTTTTCAATTTAAGTGACAATCGAAACGGGATTATTTTTATTTATTCAAAGTCATCACTTGGGATAATTTATGATGTCCCAAGTCACCGGTTCAAATCCCGAATCGAGGAAAGATTGACTCTGTTTTATAATCTGCGAACACAAAAATCCGGGTAAGGAATTCTATTAACCCGGAAGAAGGTTTCAGGCACTCCCGAGTTCCGTGGTTCTAGCACAGTCGCTTTGATCATACTTGGCTTATTAAAATTGTCTAATTACTCATTTTAGAACCTATGTGCATTTGCCTCTTTTAATTAAGAAACTATATTGAAACGGGTCACGTGTATGTGTACCCATTTGTTTGGCGGGTCAAAAATCATGTCACGCGAACATGTCCATAATTAATAACACTTTATTATTAATAAAAAAATTTGACCGAAGTTGCGCAAACGTATGCCTCGATTTATTTTACAAATCGTAATTATGTCACGCGAACATGTACACAATCACAATTATAGATTAAATCACTCCTAAAGCAAACTACGATTTATGGATGAATTGGTGATTGTGAGCAAAGAGGCCTGAATTCATGGGGTACTTTTACTAAGGAGTTTCATTGCACTCGACCAACCCAATGCCTAAGCGTGTAAGCAATTAAATCAATAATGGGCTAGGCCTTTACCAACCCATATGGCCCATTCAAGCATTCAAGATAAAGCAAAATGGAAATCCCCAAACGAGTAAGCATATAAGTCCCTGAGAGAAAACAATTTAACATGAAAAGGATAAATAATGAGATAAGATAAAGTGAAAAGCAGCAGAACCCCTAAAGACTGATCTGTGTAAATTCCCCTACATTATCATTTATGCTTGAGTGGTTCTTTTGGAATTTCTCCTAAACCAATGTTCAAATACATTAAGAATTACACATATACAGTCTTTCACACCAGAAACATTTGAACATCAATTGTTCACAAAGTTAGGCTAATAGTTTAGGCATTCAAAGTTAGACAAACACTCAAGGAATGTTGGCCACCTATTTCATTTTTTGATGACATAAAAGTTGGAATTCTTAGTTAACGACTGACTTATTTTCAATTAGGACACTCCCAGCAAAGATGGAAACAATGAATCAACATGCGACTCCAAAACATGCATACTTACATACTTATTCTCATTAATCAAACAATATGCATGACATGAATGATTAACCTCAATCGATTTGCATTAATTATACTAATGACATGCTTGAAAGACATTTCTAGGAGAGATCAATCCATATTATCTAACAGTGGCTAGGAAAGCATAACAAAACTAACATGTGCATTATAAAGAGACATGGAACACAAAGGGCAAACAAGCTCGCTTAAAGCTTGACTCAATAACACCAATGAATCACTGACAATAGGAGAACAAAAATCACTCAATCCAGGAAAATCATGAGGAACACCAGCCCATGGAAATTCACATTTAATTTCTTTAACTAGCTAACAAAGGTACTGTCTCAATACTAAATCGAAAATATCCAACATGAACTCTGATCGAATGAAATGAAGCCTCAAGGAGACATTTACATATATTTCAACAAAAGCATGGTTTTATTTGTGAACATGTTTCAAAAAGTATGATAAAAAAAAGTCCAAACTCAGAACTCTAAACCTTAAACAGAAATGAAACCAAAGAAACATGCTACTCTAATGGCTAAAAGCCTTTGACTACTTAATCGTAAGCAAAAAAAAACATTGACAAATCAACTACCGATTGACACGCTGAATACACAGTTTCATCGCAATTGGTTCTGACACTCCAATATTAATCTGACTGGACCACACAAGGATCCCAAACAGTAAACAAATTCACAAAAAAGGATAAAAAAGAAGAAATTAGCCAGATGCACATGAAGTGATCAGTAACAACTTAACAAACTGCATTAAAATAAAGAGGAAATAACAGACCTGTTGATAAAGAATTACTTTTAATAGAATCAGAAGAAACAAATGAGTATAGATTCAACGGCCAACTCCAAATCGTGAAATCACCGCAGAAATCGACCTCGAACAGCAGCGGACTTAACAACTTCCCAAATGAATTTCATGTTTTACCAGAAAACCAAGACAAAAAGAAGAGACTATATATANGTTTTTAAACAATAATCAAAACCAAATGAAATAAAGAACATTCAACATTTTTATGTGTATCTCTATGAATCTGGAAAAAAAATCGAAAAAAACTCTTCAAGCCCTAGCCTTTCCTCTCCAGTTTTTTCCCGAAAAATCCTCTCCCAAAATCCCCCTTTTCTTAATCAAAACCTAGATATATATAGCTCTCCCTCAAAGCTTCTATTCCCTTCTTCAAAAAAAAAAATCCTAGAATATTCTTTTTGAACGAACCCGGACAGATGGAGAGAGAAGATCGATTCAAAATCAATCCACAGTGCCCATTTTTTCGGAATTCATTCACATGAACGCACATGGGAGATGAAAATCTGTCAGAGGCCGTTAGAATCTTGATGATGTGGTGGGATAAGGGCGTGTGCGAGTGAACTCGCCTGAGTTTCAGGCGAGTTGGGGTTGGATCGTCTTGTTGGAGAAGAAGAACAGTAGATGGGGCGCCTCTTTAGGTCTGTTATGATTTAGGGTTTTCTTTTAGGAAAAATTATAACAGGGTATATATATTAAGGGGGAGTGGGGCGGGTCACAGGTGGGTCGGGTCGTGTGTTTTGGGCTGGGGAAGGGCGTGAGGTATGGGGCCGGTTGGGGGGAAGGCTTGGACTAAAAGTTGTTTGGGTCTTGGCCCAAATTAGGTTTTAAAAACAAACTCCCATTCCCCTTTCCTTTGTTTTCTTTTATATATTTTTTTCCTTTTTCTACAATTAACTAAAATCCTACATTAAATTCTAAATTGATCTAATTTGTAAAATTAAACTAACTATCTAATTACAAAAATTATAAAGGTTACTTAAGCCTAAATTAAAAGAGAAAAATCAATAATCTAAAAATTAAAAGGTAAAAATATAAAATGAGCTATTTTTTTGTGATTTTATTTTTTTATAAAATAAATAATTACTAGTTAATCCACCCAAAAATATAAAAAAACAACCTAAATGCGATGCATGGTAATTTTTCTATTTTTCATGATTTTTAATGGAAATTAAATGTGCATAAAAATGCAAATAATTAATAAAATTCTACAAAAAATCTATAAAATTGCAAATAATGGGAAAAAATTATTTTTCTTGTATTTTATGGGAGTAATTCCTATAGGGCAAAAATCATGTTCTCATAGAAGGTTTCACAATGAAGGGTGTTATGAGATTTGGGAAGAAGGATAAATTGAGTCATCGGTTCATTGGGCCTTTTGAGGTGCTTCGAAAGATTGGGGAGGTGGATTATGAGCTTGCTTTTCCACCCAGCTTATCGAATGTGCATCCGGTATTTCATGTTTCTATGCTTCGGAAGTATATTGGCGACCCGTCTCATGTTTTGGATTTCAGCACAGTTTAGTTAGATGATGATTGACTTAAGATGTGGAGCCAGTGGCTATTTTGGAGCGTCAGATTCGGAAGTTAAGATCAAAGGATATAGCTTCAGTGAAAGTGCAGTGGAGAGGTCGGCCCGTGGAGGAGGCCACCTGGGAGACCGAGCGGGAAATGCGGAGCAGATATCCTCACCTATTTGAGGCTTCATGTATGTTTCTTGACTCATTCGAGGACGAATGTTTGTTTAAGAGGGGGAGGATGTGATGACCTGGCCGGTCGTCTCATGAGGTACCGCTCTGTTTCCCCCATTTCTGCTTCTTATTGCTTTATTTATCGGTATTGTGTGTTATCGGGTCGGTTGGCTCGGGTTCGGAAAGGTTTTGGTGAGGTTCTGAGACACTTAGTCTCTTTTGAGCGAGCTTAAGTTGGAAAAGTCAACCGGGTGTTGACTCATGTGAAATAGGGCTCGGATGCGAATTCTGATGGTTCGGATAGCTTCGAGAGATGATTTGGGACCTAGGAGCATGATCGGAATATGTTTTAGAGGTCCGGAGTAGATATAGGATTGAATTGGCGAAGTTGGAATTTTGGTGTTTTCCGGTTGATAGGTGAGATTTTGATATAGGGGTCAGAATGGAATTTTAGGTGTTTTAACAGGTCTGTCATGTCATTTGGGACGTTTGTGCAAAATTTCAGGTCATTCGGACGAGGTTTGGTAGACTTTTTGATCTAAAGTGGAATTGGGAATTATTTGGAATCTTAGGCTTGAATTTGATGTGATTTTGGTGTTTTGATGTTGTTTTGAGCATTCCGAAGGTTGGAACGAGTAAGAATAAGGTTATGGGATATGTTGGCATGTTTGGTTGAGGTCCCGAGGACCTCGGGGTGGATTCGGATGGTTGACGGGGAGTTTGGAGTTTTGGAGGAGCTGCAGAATTTTCTGCTTCTGATATTTCTGCACCTGTCGATTGGGCACCGCAGGTGCGATGCCGCAGATGCGCAGAAGAGGCCGCAGATGTGATCAAGGACGTAAGGGGCAGGAGCCATAGGTGCGAAGTGCTGAGCACACCTGCGATGGCACAGGTGCAAGATGATGACCGCAAATGTGGAATGGAGCCTTTAAGTGGAAACCGCAGGTGCGGTGGGCTTGACCGCAGAAGCGGTATTTGGGCCGCAGGTGCGAAAACCCTGGTCCAGAAGCTATATAAGCTTGCATTCGCAGATTTCAGCCATGTTCCACAATTTTAAAGTCGGATTGGGAGCTTTTTGGGAGATTTTGAAGAGGGATTCAAGGGATAACGTTTGGAGGTAAGATTTTTGAACCTAATAGTCGATCTTATGGCATTATTTTACTAATTTGGCTTGAAATTAATGGAAATTAAGGGTTAAAAATTGGGGATTAGGGCTTGGTATTGGAGACCTTGACTTGAGGATTTGAGGGGTTATTTGTTGTTGGATTTTGGTACTTTTGATATGGATGAACTCGTGGAGTGATAAGGATTCCATTAATGTAAATTTTATTGGATTCCAAGACGTGGGGTTGGGGGTCGGGTTTTGGTTAATTTCGGGATTTGTGTAATAATTTGATTACTTTCGAGTGGGCTTTGTTCCCTTAGCATATTTTGATCGTTATGTTCTGATTTTGGTTAGGTTTGGAGCATTCGGAGGCCGATTCGAGAGGCAAAGGCCCCGCGGGCTAGAGTTTGGATCGGATAGAGGTGAGTAATGATTGTAAATGTTGTCCTGAGGGTATGAAACCTCGGACATCACATCGTTGTGCCACTTTGAGGTAACTCACACGCTAGATAACGAGCGTGGGGGCCATGCACCGTTGGGGATTGTGACTCAGTCCATCCCGTAAGGCTGTTTTACTGTGTATTTGATTGAAAATGGTTTACTATCATCATGTTTTGGGCTGAAAGCCATATTTGGGCCTCGCGCCAACTGTTTTGGACCCTTAGGGGATTTTCACTATTATTCCTCACTATTTTGACTTTATACTTGTACTCAGACATGCTATATTCTACTGTTTTCATAACTTAACCATGTTTACTCTATTTTGACATCTTAAATGATATTTTGAGCTGAGCATAATATTTTACTGTGCCCGAGTGGCTTTTAGAGATTTCTGACTGAGTAGGGTTGAGGGCCTATGTTGTGAGGTTATTATGGGATTGGGTTGCGCGCTGCAGCAGTATTGAGCAAATTCATGATTATGAGGTCGAGGGCCTAAGTTATACGCCACAAGGTGGCTTGATATGAGCCCGAGAGCCTGTTTGATTATGCCACGAGATGGCTTGATATTGCGCTTGGGCCGTAAGGGGACCCTCCCAGAGTCTGTATACCCCGAGTGAGTGCGGGTACCCAGTGTGATATGTGATATAGCCTGAGGGGCTGATGTTGTTCCATGTTATTGCCCGAGGGGCTGATTCTATTGGTACTTTGCCCGAGGGGCTGGTTTTATGTGTTTATCTTTTCTCACTGCTTTTCATTCACTCGTTTAACTATTAAAAGATGTTTTAAAGAAGCATATACTGAACTACGGTGTTTTTACAAGTCTTTACTATTTTATTACATTGTTTTGGTTTTACGCTACCTCTTTATAGCATTTTGTTGTGTTTTACGTATTTTCTTATCTCTTGGCTACTTTTACTTTTATTACTCACTGAGGTGGAGTACTGACATTACTCCCTACACTCGGTGTGCAGATTCAGGAGCCTCGGGTCACGCTAGCGAGGGCTGATTGCTTCCAGTAGGCTGTTCCGGAGTTCACTATGTAGTTGCTCGGCGTTCGCATCCCAGTGTTTCTCCTTCCTATCTTTATTTTCATTTGTATTGGATTTGTAGTAGACTATGTAGACTCTTCCTACTTTTAGACGGTTGTTTAGATTCTCATGACTGGTGACACCCCGATGTCGGGCTGTATCTATTCCCGTACTTGTTCTATTTCACTTAATTTTGGGATTTATTTCTTCTTAATGACTTAAATTGAATTATTATAATTGTTTAACTGAATTGGGGGTTGAGTCGGTTGGCCTTGTCTTCATGAGAGGTGCCATCACAACCGGGTCCGGTTTGGGGTCGTGACACCGAGGGGCTATACATATGAGTGATACTTTCCCCGAGGGGCTTGTTTATGAAATTACTGTTTTTACTCTTCTTTTATACTGAGCCTCTATTGAAAAATGTTGAACAAATGCTTTAAATAACTTTCATTGAAACTGGAGTTTTTACGAGATATTCGGTTATTGAACTACAGATTTTGACTTTGATATTTCTATTGAGATTCTATGATAGAGTATGTATATGATTTTAAATGCTCGTCACTGCACTCACACTTTATTTACTTTGATTACTTACTGAGTTGGCGTACTCACGTAACTCCCTGCACCTTGTGTGCAGATCCATGTGCTAGAGCCTCCGAGTGAGAGTTGATCTTTGCCTTTAGAGTATTTTCCGGAGATTGCAAGGTAGTTGCACGGCGTCCACAGCCCTGCCTTTCTCATTCCTATCCTTAGTATTTTATATTTCAGTCTTATTTTGTATTAAGTAGACAGTATTGGGTTGTATTGTAGTGGCTCATGACTAGTGACACCAGGATCGGTCAGTGTAGATGTAATTGCGTATTTATTTTTCCGCATATTTTGTTATAT